TTAGATTTGGGTTCAAAGTCATATCCTTTACATATGCATGAAACCTAGAGAATAAGTCAATCAAGCTTAGCTGAGTTTTAAATTTGAACTCGAGCTCACTTTGTTTTTACAATGAATGAACTTTAATTCAATTCATACTTGAACTGATCACGAATTAGCAGCTCGGTTCATTTGCAATTCTAGCCAAACTTATAAAGACAATACCAAGCCCAAAGGAACTACATCTTTGCAAGCGTGGGACTCAAACACGGTTATAATGGCCAAAGTGACGTGATAACTCATACAAGCTTAGGCACAGACAATTTTGTACAGTTTATACATGCAATTTGGAACTGGAAAGGTTTAATTTACAACAAATGTACCTGATTTCTCCACACATCTCACGCAAGTAACATAAGCATGGATGAGCATTTTATCATATTACACATTGGGCACCAACCTTTTATTTATAAATAATTAATTATCTAGATATTTTGGGGCCTGAATAGGTGCATCATATTCAAAGGCAATACATTGGAATATTAGCAGGACGATACACAAAAGGTCTGACAGCATAAGAATAGCCCGATGGATGCTTGTAACTGAACTTGATGCCCGAGCTGCCATCACCGAGATGGGTGCAGTGTTCATGAAAGCTGCTAATAGGTCTTGCCAGGCATGCATCCCAGCGATCACTCTCTGGCATTGTCTCTGCCACTGTGTAGATGCCCTTAGAGTTTGTGAATGCCTGATAATTTAGAACTTCCCCAGATTTTGTTATGCAAAGAACAGCAACCTCAGCACCTGCACTCAGACAACCCAAACCATGCTTCATTCACACCAAAACTAATTCAAGATTACAAGCTGCTATGTCAAAGTTATATTGGTACTTCTTGACTTAGACTTGGCCACTCTTTTTGTGGAATGTTCTTGGCCACTGCGGCGTTGGGATATAAGACATATCACTATGTGCATTATGATGCCAAATGTTAGGTTTATACCAAGTCTTACCACCTATACTCTTGGTTAATAGAAACCAAGCTATGTGATAACATTTTATGTTCTTTTTCTTGATGAGAAGCAAACAACTTTACAGAAATTCAGCACTAATAAGAAAGAAAGAAATGGTGGACAACTCACCCACCCAAAAACAACTAAGGAAAAACAGTACATAGTGATCCTTGACAACATCAATTCTAAGTAATGATGAACTTGTGACTATGTGTAACAACATTTTCTTAGGAGCGATAAACATGTAATCATGAACACTTCTTTTCCATAGCTCTTGGAAGCAAAAATTGATTGTAAAACCCAAGTCAATAAAAGACCATCTCATGCCTCCTCTCATGAAAAGTCCATGAGATCAACAAAGAAAATAACAGTTTTTGTATTTAAATTTCCCTTTATTTGGTCGTGTAACATAAGTTGGCTTACTTCATCAGTTAGATAAGAATCACACACGTTAACAAACACACGCACACACACAAAACTTATCAGTCCAACAACTAAACATCAACCTAACTTATAGAGGATGGTGGAGACTTACAAGGCATAGATGTGTGCAAATCCCTACCGATATGGGGCAATTGGATTTGTTTGATCACCTAGGAAAAAGACACACAAACACAGAGCCTATGTTACTATGTATCCAATCCACAGACCATCCCTAAAATGACCTAAGTTTTAGGCAGAGCAGGGGGTTTATAAGAAGTACATGCATGCAAAATAAGCTTGCCTAGCAGCAATTATCATGAGACAGGGCGTCTCTTGGTGGTTGGGGTGGGGGTGGGGGTGGGGTGGGAGAAGAGTCAAGTAAATTGTTAATAAGCAAGAAGTTAGGAGACAATTTCATCTATGACTCTAATGGGCAGGGGGAACTGGTTCTACTCAAGGAAAATGTTTTTTCAGCAGACAAATGTCCAAAAACTACCTGAAAGCCCTATCTCTGAACCATGATACAACAATCCAGAGACTGTGATCAATGCAGTTAGGGGAATCAACAAGAGATCTAACCCGGATTGCATAACTGATAGAGGGTTTATATCATATGGGATGTTTGGAGACGCTAGAGGGATATTGACTTGATGGAAGCCTCTATATTTTGGGAAAATGAAAAACGCCAAGATGTTGAAGTCTGACTGGTGAAATTGATTGTGCCACTAATTGATGTATTGCTACAATCCCCGTCGGTTAAATATGAGATTAGATGTGTTTACATGAACTCTTAGACACCCTTCACTTGTAAGCCTGTTTTCACGAGTGAGCTCTACACATGGGTTCATATCATGTATTAGTGTAGATATCTCTATACTAACAAATTACATCATAGCCTCAGTCCCCAAACTAAAACTCTCAATTTTTGCCCAAACACATGAAAAATCACACCGACTAAGTGGAGCCTACATATTTTGAATCCGATTTGTTTAGATACGAGAATTTACACAAAATTATGACCCAACAGAAGGGGAATCAATCACATCATCAACTGTACAAACCCTTTTCCACCCATTACTCTGCTTTTTTTTTTGTTGTCACTTTTAGTCATCGGCATAAGACAACAAATACCAAAACCCATGATTTTAATCAACATCCAATGAAGAATTCCAGGCTAAATACGATAACCCATATCCAAAACCCACACAAATATTAAGTAATCCACGGGAAACGCATCAAAATAAGCAGAGACAGAGAGAAGGGTTAGGAATTGACCTTCCAAAACATGGTCTTCAGGACCAATGGAAGAATCCCCACATACATCACAGACAACTCTTCCAAGAATTTCACCAGTCCAAGCACTCGCACTGTACAAGAAAAAGATTGCTGATAGAGAAATTGCTGTTAATAGCTTCTTCAACTCATGCCCCATTGCTCTGTCGGTGCCTTAGTCCACACCCTTAAGACAACAACTAAAGCTTTTCGACGACAGCTTTATGAAGTCAGTTGGGCATCACCAGTGACCGGGAGGTCCGGTAATCTCCGTACTTTTCATTTTTTGTTTTTAAACTTGCGTATCGGGGAACTACTCAGGGTTCTGTTTGTCCTGAGTTTGGTTCGTTTTTTTAAACGAGAGTTTGAATTATTTTTTTAGGTTTATTTTAAAAACATGGGCCTAAAAAATGTTCAATTTATTTAGATATAAAATAATTGAATTATTTGGCTCGATTCAACTTTGATTCTGTTCGGTTTGGATTTAACTTATTTTACGAGTCAAGTTTAAATAATTTTTTTAATTCGTTTAAAAAAATAAGATCAATAAGACTAAATAAAATTTACAAAACTCGACTCAATTATCAGCATTACATACGCATTTGACATGATTTACCAGTTTGGCCGGTAAGCCAATGTGGATTTTTACCAAATAACAAGCGATTCATTTTTGGTATTTTGTGAATTGATCATATTAAACTCATAAAAATTAGAGTAAATAATATAATGTTAATATGTAAGTAATTTTTAAATTTAAATTATTAAAATTAAGATCAAACGTCTCACCATATTATTTAATTTTTTTTCTTATTTTTAATTAGTCTAATAAAAAAAGTGTATATTTTTTTTAATACATAAATATTAGATCAATCTTAAGTGATCGTATTTGGGAATTATGTCTTTTGTGATTGCATTTGGTGATTGTTTTGGTGCATTTTTTTATTACCTTGAAAATGAAAATATTTTAAAAATATTTCAATGAATCTTTTTTAATTATTCCATATTAATATTCAAAATATAAAAAACATCTTGAAATATTTTAAAATATGTCAAAACAATGGTGAAAACATGAAGAATTATCTTAACACACTTTGAAACAATTCGAAATACTTTGAAGTATTAAAGTTTTAATTTTTTATCACTGATTTATTTCGATCTCATTATTTAACATTCAAAACGAAATATTGATCCACGTTTAAAACAAGTAGCAGTTTTAGTAATTACATATCCTTAACTAGCGCAGGGAAGTTACTGACCAAGCCAGGAACACCGTTCTCCATGTATCCAAACTGACCTCTACAATCATTATACTCTCCAGCATTCATTACGCCTATAAATATTCTCTTAATCACAGTGAGTTGTGCTCCGCCACCACGACTCCCATTACTGGCCTTGTTGATTTTTCATTCCAATTGTCCAATTTCGAATACCAAAAGCCTAAATCAGGAAGATATGCCAGTACTTTTGTAGTCGGTAGATCTAAATTGTGTGTTTGTATTTGTTGTAATTGTTTCAGAATTCTTAATGGGTTCTTTGCATGTTTGATATTTTCGAATTCAGATTCTTTGCTTATGATTGACAAATCCCTGTTTGAAGATTTTGTTTTTAAGTCTTGCTCTTTATTATGGGTTGGCTTTGCTTTGCTTTGCTATACATGATTTTTATTATGGGAGAGAATTGTTTGTCAAAGAGGATTCATGGATGCGACCCTAAAGTGCGAATTAATGTTTTCTTAAATTGAGTTGAGTGAAGGATTATTTTTCAGAGACCAGAACATCAATAGACCCATGTCAAGTTAGGCTAGGACCTGAATCCTTTTTTGGTTCTAAAACTACCCAAATTCACTTGTCAAAGGTGTTGATTTTGTCTTAAGATTTTGTAAATTATGTCTGTCTTGTATTTCTATGTGTACAATGGCAGTTTTTTTTAAGCAATCTGGATGATAGATTTGTTCAACATGGTCTTCTAGACAGTAAAGAGTAGTTTTTTGGAAACTTTAAAATGAAATCCTTCTTTTATTGCTGATGTTTTATATTTTAAAGTTTTCTACTAGAATGCATTACATTTGTGTTTTTGTTCGTTTTGTTTTGTTTTTGTTTTTTTTTGGGTTAGATTTGCTTTTCCTCTGTGAGCTGTGAGCTGTGAGCTGGATGTGTGCAAACCATGTTGGCCATGCATGCTTTCTTCTTTCGTTAGTTTTCCATTTTATATAGTATTCTTTTTTCTTTTCCATCCTATGAAGATTGATATAAAATTTTAAAGTAGTGGACAGATCTCCATTGACGAATAACCAATTCTGAGGGATTAAGTTTTTTTTTTTTTTTTTTGATTCTCTCTGATAAGAGCTATCATATTGGTTGTATGTCATTTCTTTTCATGCACCTTGTATGGTGGACAGTACCGTGGTTTTTTGAGGCACCGGTAGTTTTTGCTGCTGTTCTTTTAGTGTCCTCTTTATTGTTTATGTATTTTTCAAAATTATGTCTCTCAACCCTGTGAAGAATGTGAGATATACAAGTAGTGGGCTGATATTCATTCATGATGAGTACTTACTTCTGAGGGATTTGTGTGTCTTCCAGATTTCTGTTTGATTTTGTTATGGGCATCTTCCAGATGCAATTTTTATCTTTACGATACTAAACCTTGGTTGCTTAAGGCTGGAACTTTTGGGGTAGTTGCATGTTGAGTGCCTTTCCTGCTTTAAGATACAAGAGTAACTAAGATAAAAATACATTTTTCATCTTTTTAACTGCTAGAGATTCAAGTGATATTTTTTTTTTAGGAAAGTAAGATTCAAGGGACTTTAATGGAATGTTTTTGGGTTTTTGTTTGGGTTGTTAGGAAGTTTTGCTACTTACATGTTGTCATCTTTTCTTTATCTACAACTTTGTATTACATAGAGTGCTGAGAAAGGCAAGCTCAGAACTGTCTTTATGGGATAAATTATTTTATAAGATAATATTTAAAGTGCATTTATTAACTGCCACTGTCTTTCCCTCTGATGAAAAAATTGTTTTGTGCCCCAGTTAAACATGTGCTGAATATTCAAGGTAGAGGACTAATGTTCCTGGGGAACACAATTCTGAGAAGTACATGTCTTTTTGAACTTCTGCATAAAACCTTTGTAAAACAATGTTATTTTGTTCAACTGTAATACAAGTGATCTTGCTGTTAAATTTGCAGACCATTGCCCCCCAGTGATGTTTTCCCATTTTACTGCTGTTTGATTGAAATTTGCATCTAATACCTTAGTGGAGAGTTGTAGTTGTCTTTGGATCTCAATGGGGAATTGTTTGATGTCAAAAGTAGACTGACCTTCACTGAAGAACAACATATTCATAGAGATGTACTTGATCTTTTTAGTTTTTGTATATTTTGTCTGCATGCTGTGATTCTTGACTTCTTAAGCAGGCTCCCACATGTGTCTCTCTTCCTTTTTGAATTTCTCTTGCAATTTTCCTGACTAATAGTCTGAATTGTTACCATCTACTGATCAAATGGTATGTATTTATGATTGAATCATGTGGTACAACATGGGGTGATCAAGTCCAGGTGGGCAGGCCTGATGGGCCAGCCACAAGGTCAGAGCTTTGTTTATTCTGATGCTAGTGCTTGGACTCCATTCAGGTTGCAATTATTCAAGATTTTGTACATTACTGTTTTGATGTTCCTCGAGAGGTCGCCTTGTTGCTTTCTATTGCCCCTGAACTCTCCAAATATTGCACCATACCTTCAAGTTTTGGAAAAGAAATAAAAAAACAAGTTTTGAAGTATAACCACATTCAACAACTAAAGCTAGCTAACATCTAGTCACTTAATTATTTCAAATGCCATGTCTAGTTGTCTGAAGATTATGTCCATAACTCGAACTGCCCTTTAAGTATCTAATCTTTCAGGTGAATAATCATTGTTACCTTTGGCTGTGTGAACTATGATTTCTGAACTATTTAGGTCCCATGAGTGGCTGTCCTACGCTATTAAATATCCTTATGTGAGAAGTTTGATTGGTAAATTCTTTGCATCGTTGCAAGCTTGGGAGCATTGGTGACGATGATAATTTTTTTGGTGGTTCAGGTGATAATGCTGATTCAGATCATCTGTTTCAAGTGTGAGAGTTATCCGAGATGGAGTGGATGCTTGGTCTGATGGCTGAGGATTGCCACGCCAAACAGAAACTTATTGAGGAGGAGCTCTCAGCACGAGTCTCATTGCAGTACTGAAACAATGGGGACAACTTCCTACCAATGTGAATGAAATGTCTTGCAGATCCTGTGAAGAAGTAAGCTTTGTATGACAAGTTCAGTTGTGGCATTTAGGGAATGTACTACCAAAATTTCAACTCACACTAATTTCATGATACACTCAGGAACTAAATGCACTGTCTAGTAACTTGTGTTTCTATGTGACTTTTATAAGCAAGTGAGTAATTTCCCTCAAAAATGTTTAATTATTATTATGTAAAAATCATCGAGGTGGCTTTCAAGTAATAAAAAATATAAAAAAGAAAATTATATTAAAGATATCTTGCCAAAAATGATTGTTGACTGTGATGCTAAAGCAGAAACGCAGTTCCTTTTGATCGTGATAATCAATAATTGGATTAGTAGTAGCTGTCTACCATAATCAGTCATAATTTTCATATTTTTTTTTATTTTCTCTCGAGTTGAATAAATCATCTTTAAATTAATTAATTTGTACTGGCTATCAATTATCAAACTCTATCAAATTAGATGATAGATTGTAATTGGGAGGACTTCATCCATTAGTTCATAAGCTTATGCTTAGTCCTAATAGAAACCCCATCAACCATTTTAACCCCACCTCTCTCTCTCTCTCTCTCTCTCTCACACGCGTGGGATAATTCCACCGTACAAAAAAAACATTTGATATTATATTAAAAGTTATTATTTTTAAAAATATAACTAATTGAAGTAATTTATGCTCGATTTTGTGATCAATTCTGAATTATTTGAATAAATTATAATTTCTCCTTTGTAAGTTGTAATTTTTATTATACAAATTATAGTTTAGCAGTTTTAACTTAATTTTTAAAAATTATAACTTTAATAATTAATTATAATATTTTAAAATTAATCTTTATAATTTACGGCTCAAAAAATTATAAAATTTGATAGGGCTGCCCTCGGTTACCGTAGTCTTTTTCTGAAAGTATATGGTATGTGAAGTACGTACCTGCCATTCTCGTCCATCAACTCGTAGCCCCTTCCATTCCAGGAAGGCTTGAACCCCAACAATGGCTGACCCGGGAGAAGATACCATTTTTGAGGAGAGAGAGGAGAACATGGTTTCACCCACAGGTGGAAAACCCACCCTCAGAATTGCCCGTTTTCTCAAACCCACAGTCACCTCCATGAAAGATATTCCTCTACTCCCTCTTTCCTCCAAACCCACCATTCCCGAAACCAATAAAACCCCATTAAAGGTCTTGTTCAAATGTAGGAGATACCCACAAAAGGGATGGCAAACATGGGTTGATCAGTTGAAACCTCTGTACCAACAGACATGGAAGAAAGCTGGCATATATGAAGCAATCTTGGCTTCTACGTACCAAACCCTCCGACACAACGATTTGGTCATTGCACTTGCAGAAAGGTGGTGTATTGAGACCAATACATTCATCTTTCCTTGGGGTGAAGCAACTGTTTCATTGGAAGATATGGTGGTTTTGGGAGGTTACTCTGTCTTGGGTGACCCTGTTTTTAGCCCTCTTTACTATAAAGACTTGATCCAAGTTCATCAAAATCTGATCAAAGCTCATAAAAATATCAGAAATGAACATCATGGGGTCGCTGGCCACTATTCATGGATGAATCATTTCATGGGTAGTGGTGATCCATTTGAGCACGAAGCATTTCTTGCTCTTTGGCTGTCGAGGTATGTCTTCACTTTAAATTACGACACCATAGAAATGAAATTTGTCCCCACTGCAGTTCAACTTTCTAGAGGGACTCCAATCACCATTGCTCCAGCAGTTCTTGCGAGCATTTATAGAGACTTGACTCTGCTGAAAAAGTCATTGATTAATGGTGGTTTAAGAGTCAGTCTCTGGGCTCCATGTCAATTACTACAGCTTTGGGCATGGGAAAGGTTTCCTAATTTGAGTCCTCAACCCAATGCCTTCAAATGGGGTGAGCCCAGATCGTCTCGGTGGCACAGACTGCAGAAGTTGAGAGTTGAAGACGTGAGGAAGGCCATAGATTCTGCTGAGGAATGTTTCCTGTGGCGGCCTTATGCCACTGTTGTGAACAATTGGGAGTTTAGTAAGTTTTACAGTGAAAATGAGGACTCTGTCTTGGTTGAATCTGGTATGGACATACAAGTAGAGTCGTTTGCTCGATGCTTGAGAGTTTCTGAATTTGTTGGAATTGGCTGTATAGAACAGTATCTCCCACATCGAGTTTCAATGCAATTTGGGATTGATCAAGGACTTCCTGGCTCTGTCCTTCGATTCAACATGGCCCCTGAACTGGCTTGGAGCAATTATAATAGGCCGATTCGAGATGCCATGGTTTATATACCATCCAGACTCTCTGAGTCAGATGTCACCACACAATATTTACAGTGGTGGAACTGGTTGATGTTGGCCAGGGAAGAGATAATCAAGGGCGTATTGAAGAAGCAACATTTAAGAAATCCCACCAGATTGCCACGGGTTTTCTGGGGAAGCAAGGAAGATAACCATGCCTTGGTACTTCCTAGTTCTCCTGCCAAATGTCATATGGTGGAAGCAGAGAATTACGTTGAAGAGGATAAGCTAACAACTGCACAAATGTTGAACCAGAACAAGAGGAAAAACGGTGTTGAACATGGGCTGGCTGGTGATGATAAGTCTTGGATGGGTGTTCAAAGGTTATCATCTTCAGCTGCAGATAAGGGAACTGCTAGAAAGATGAAATCAATGGTGAAGCTTGTGGGCACGAGTATTCAGTGTCGAGATACAACATATAGCATGAGCAACAATGAAGAAGGAATCAGTGGGACTGTTAGAGATATGGAGCTTGAGGATTGGATTACGGATGATGGAAATGTTATAGAGATGGAGTCACCAGTGAAACCTTTGGAAATGACTATGCAGAATCAAGCTCGAATGGCAGGACCAAAGACGATCATAGCAGACCAAAATGTAACTAAAGCAAAGAGGCTGTCAATGAGAATCAGCAACAATGAAGAAGAAAGCAATCGATATGGGATGAATGAGACACCAGGACTGAAGCTTGGGGGTTTGACTGGTGATGACAGGAGTGTTAGAGAGATGGAGTCGCTGCTGAAACCTGTGGAAATGAGAATGAAATGTCAAGCTTTGATGGAAAGACCAAAGAGAGCTATGGATAATGCAAATGAAGTTAAAGCAAAAAGGCAATGTTTGATCATGAAGACCAATCAAGAAAAAAATGGTAGCTATGGTGCGATCGAGATACTGACACTAGAAATTGAGGCTCAGACTCTATATAATGGAACTATTAGAAGGATGGAGTCACCAATTAAATCTATGGAAATGAGTCTGCAGGGTCAAGCTTTGATGGAAAGACCAGAGACAGCCCTGGATGATGCTAATGTCTTCAAAGCTAAGAGGCTGTCAGTGTGCATCAACAACAATGGCGAAAAAAACAGTAGCTATGGTACGCTTGAGATACCAGGATTGGGAGTTGAGGCTCGGATTAGGAAGCTCGAGAGACTGATTAGTGTGCTTAAAGTTGCAAAACTCAGTTACAGGTTAGAGAGAGCCTACCAAAAAGTGGCAAGCTGATGTCTTGTGTTCATTTTGCACTATATTTTGTTTCGCCCTCTTCCTCTATTGGATGATGCAGATTTATGTATCAAACAACACATTGACAAAGTGCTAGTGCTTCAGTTGGAAGTAATGCAATCTTGCTGTAAGTGCTAAGTGGCTAACAATCTTTTTTACCATGATAGATGGTAAACCCCGGAGAGTGCTTAATCTTATGAACGAAATTGGATGTTGTACAAGGTCTGATCGCATACAATATGTAATGTATACCTTCCATCACATATAATATTTCTATCATTGATCTATTAGTTCAGGCTATTTGAATTTACTCTTCCTCTTCGTTCTGCCTGGCAAATGTGACTTGCTTTGAACTGTGCTCAGATTGGACTCATTCATACTTTTTATGGGTTCCAGTATTGGATTTCACTTTAGCAGAGTCATTTTTCTTGAGAAAATTTCACTCATTACAATTTTCATGTCTTATGACGTGGTGGATTCAACAGCCCTTGAAGCCACTAAACAAGCTGGTTTGACATGGAGGCCGAGTGTTCAGTGATCCTGTTTCCTGAGATTTACACAACTTTACTTCCTTCTTATCCATGTGATTAGCTACCTTGAATCTTCTACTTTCTTGATGATTTCTGCTTATAAATTGTGCTCAGTTTGATACTAATATCTGGACTTACCCTTCGATTGATCGATTCTAATGAATGTTTTTTTTTTATTAAACGGTCAAGGGTGCCTTGGGCCCTAGGCCGGCTTATAATAACCTCTTCGGTTCGGTTAAAGACAGGTCATTTACGTTGAGATTGGGATATTCACAAGGTATAAATTTTTCGTGGCCTAACTCAAGAAATTGCCAAGATTCGAGCTCAAGATGTTTAAATTTATAACTCGTACTTATTATTATTTGAGAGCTACCCTTGCGAATCTTTGAAAATCTGTTTTCATACTTTTCATTGAAAGTGTGATTTTCAAAACATGTTTTTTCATTGAAAAGGGTCTTGCTTTCATGAAAAAGAATGATAATTTAGTAAACAAATTTGAAATTAAAATTAAAATTACTTTCGAAAAAAAAAAAGTTTGAAATTAAAATTGGAAAGAAAAGAGTATATCCGAATTGTAAAAAAAAAAAAACCTCTACATACTGGATTGACAATGGGGTGGTTCATGGTATGGTACAGTATGCTCGTTTCTGTAGTAGTTGCAGAGTTCTGGAAGTATTCCATTACTCTGTGGCGGCCAGTTACCACGCTAAGGCCTGCATACTTGTAAAGGATAAAAGAAATGTCTGGTTATATTAAGAAATAAAGAGAACACAACTGTAAAAAATGTTGAAATATGTTTGTGTTTGGGTACATGCAATGCTACGTTTTGTTGCGGCCTCAGAGAGAGAGAGAGAGAGAGAGAGAGAGAGAGAGAGCATGCAAGGTCCACCGACTACCATAGAGAAAAAGGAAAGATAAATACTTTTTCCCTGCCAAATTGCTGCATTAGTACACGTATCAAGTATGTTTCAAAAGGTTGATTATCAAATTATGGAAAGTTTACGGTACTGTCACGATCAAAAATTATAATTTTTTAAGATTAAATTATAATTTTTTGAAGTATAAATTATAACTTGTAAAAAACATAATCAATTATTAAAGTTATAACTTTCAAAAGTTAAGTTGCAATTTTTAAAAGTTATGTTACAATTCGTAAGTGAGAACTTTTAAAGGTGATTAACTGTAATTTTTTTTTTCCAATGTGTAATTTTACCATAAAATTTTATAATTTTCGGTATAGTCTCGATGTTTTTGATACTGTAGACTTTTTCATTAAATTAAGGTAAATTATTGAATCAATTCTCGTTACATCAAAATACCGAAAAATTATTTCCATAATTTTGTCCTAAAATATCAAATTTTCTTCTAAAGGAAGTAATTTATCAACTGAAAATATCACATTTGATAAGATACCCCATTCTACAATGCTTCTCTATCTTCTCTTGTTCTGAAGTGAGATGTTTTTTAATATATTTTCTCTTTATTTTTTAAAATTATTTATCATCAATTTAAATAAATTCATTATATATAAATTAACTCTAAATCATTAATAGTTAATAATATATAAAATAAAAAATAGTATTATTTAGAAGACATCCGGATCTCCAGCTGTCTTTCTCATCTTGTTGATTCTTTTCCACCTCATTGATGCTCTCGCTATCCATGAAGATGGAGATCTTGGTGAAGTGACCTCCCTGCTACACCACCAAAGATGTGCATGCCAGCAAGGGGGGGGGGGGGGGGGGGGGGGGTGTTTATCGAAAGAGAGAGATGATTAATAAGCAGTATAATTTTTTTAGACGCGATCCCGAGAATTTCTTATAAAATATTTAAATTTAAATTATAATTACTAATTCATATTGTCAATTTGTCACCGTAACACTATTAAAACCAAATAACAATTTGCGTACTTGATAATTACACGAGACTAATGAAAAAAACACTTGCACTTTATATTTGATTGAATCACAAATTCACAGTCTTTTTTTGTCATATTATTTTGAATTTATTTGAATATTTAATTAATTGAATTTATTTTTCAATAAAAATATATTAGCTAGACAACTGAAATTGGGTTGGATTGGAGTTTGTCCATCTCTTGTTCTATCCAATCCTCCATGTAGATATTGTTTTTGTGAAGTGTGGGCTCCATGTATTAGTCTACTTAAATGATTTCTGAAGTCACATCAGTTTGACTTTAATTTATTACGATATTCTTTAGGGGTCGACTAAGTATCGTCAAAATATATATATATATATATTGATATTATACCTCTAAAATTTATTATTTTAAATAATATTTTTATAAATTTTATAATTAAAAAATTTATTATTTTAATGGTTAATTTACCACTTTTACAACTATTTTTTCACTTTTTTTAAGTATGAAAAAATTTATCACTTTTATAAGTGATTTATCAAATTTTTAGATATTTTTATTATATTTGTGAATATTTGTATGGCCTTGGTGGTTATTTTTACTATGAAATATAAAATAAAAATTATATTTCATTGTCATACACAGCTATCCAACCTTTCTAGTCAAAACAGACATCAGTAATCATTCCCTTGACTAAACGAAAGAAATGAATGAAGTGTATATAAGGGTGGAATTTATTTATTTTATTTAGTAACGTTAGATTAATTACAAAATACAATAAAATAAATATATAACACATATATGGTATGATGGTACATTTGGTATCAAATTTTTTATTTAAAATTCAAACTTATCTCACCATACATACGTGATGTCATTTAATTTTTCTCACCATATCTATTTTGTCTTTGGTCCTATCTATTATTCGTTTAACTATATACATCATTTAATTCTTATTTTTAGCCCTCTTTTTATTCATTTGACATTATTTTTTTTTATCACAGTAATTACTGTCAATCTTAAAACAATTATGATTTTAAATACATATAATACTATAACAAATAATTTTTTTTATCCTGGTAACCCGAATTGGTTATTATTCCCTTGGTTAAATAATTTTTCTAAATTCTGATTATGTGGGACCCTTAGATAATTTAACCCAATCCCCCATTTTCATCTACCTTGATCCAAACAAACAAATAAACATCTCTTATGTTTTTAGTGTATCATTTTGAATTTATTTTTAATTAAATTCAATAAAAATATATTATATATCACTTTTTTATGGAACAAAAAAACATATAATATTAAAAATAGTATTTCATTATCATAAAACTATCCGAACTCTCTTGTCAAACAGACACGAGTAATCATTCCCTAAACTAAAACAAAGACATGAATGGAGTGTATATAAGGGTGGAATTAAAATTTTTAATTGGTAATATTAGATTAATTAAAATAAAATAACGCATATATGATGTGACGGTGTATTTTGTATCAATTTTACTCTATTTAAAATTCAAACTTTTCTCATCATTTAATAAATGACGAAAAAATGATATGATGCTATATTTTGTATCAATTATATTGATTTAAAATTCAAATTTCACTCACCATATATGCGCACATCATTTAATTTTTGTCACCATATCTAGCGGCGCTGCATCATTTAATTTTTGTCATTCTATTTTATATTCAGTTTACAACGTTGCATCATTTAATTTTTGTCTTTCTATGTTGTATTTAGTTTATAGCGCTGCATCATTTATTTTTTTTCATTCTATTTTGTACTCGGTTTACGGCGCTACATCATTTTTTTTTCTTTGGCCCTATCTATTATTCATTTAATGGCATGCATCATTTAATTCTTATTTTTAGCCTTTTTCTTAATTCATTTGACATTATCTTTTTTTTTATCACGATAATTACTATCAATCTTAAAAAATTATGTTTTTAAATAAATATAATACAATAACAAATACTTTTTAAATCTTTTATCCATTTAACAAGTTTACTGCATTGATAAATTATAATTATTTTGACACTCACCTTATCTATTTATTAATTGTATTAATGAATTATATTTTTTTATTCATGTCTTGTTGGGTTCAAATAAAAAAAATATCATCTATGTAAGTAATTCAATAAACTCTTAGAGCAATTGAGCAGCAGAGAAATATCTTTAATAATTGATAAGTCTCTTTTTTATACTTTCTAAAAGTTGATCACACAAACTATACCTGAGATTTATTTTAAAGTCGATGGTGACGTTCAATCACTTTAAATGACGTGGCAAAATCTAAACTATTGTTTTGAATATAATTACTACAGCACGTCAATAATATAATGTGAGGTAACCATCCACTGTCGGGTAAATAAATCTGCAAGTTAGCATAGTTAGTCCCATAAAATTTCATAACTATGTATATAATCTTTATACGCACGAAAATTCCTCTGCCTCTCTATCAATTCCTCCATTGCCGTACAGATTGCAGAAATCCACAGCTTTTGTAGGAATCAACAGTTCATAACTCTTCTGGAACCATCATCAACCTCACTCTCATTATTACAAAATCCAAAATTAGTTACAGCTTCAGTAACTCCCTTGTTCCCTTTCTCCATCAAATTTGAAGCTTGAAAGCCAAGAAAATGTCACTACAGAAGAGTCGCTTCTTTGAGTGTTTTTACTCTGAAAAAATGGCAGAATCATTTGAGGACGTAATCCTTGAGGAGAGAGAAGAGGTCATGGTTTCACCTACAGGTGGAAACCCAACTCTCAGAAATGCCCATTTTTTGAAACCCATTGTAACCTCCATTGATGGACCACCCTTGAAGCTCTCTTCGCTCTCTCTCTCCTCTGAATCTGAGTGGCCATTGAAGGTTTCCTTCAACGGATGGCGAGACCCTCTACTTAAGTGGAAAACATGGGTCGATCGCATGCATTCTTTATACCAATATGTATGGAAAGAAGCTGGAATCTATGAAGCTATCATGGGTTCTACATACAAAATCTATAGAAACTATTATTTGGTTTTTGGGCTTGCCGAGAGATGGTGTTGGGAGACGAAAACATTTGTGTTTCCTTGGGGCGAGGCAACGATAACATTGGAAGATATGATGATTTTAGGGGGATTCTCTGTTTTGGGTGCCCCTGTTTCAAAGCCTCTTGAAACCCAAGAATTGGTTGAAATCGAAGAAAATCTGAAGCAAGCCCACAAAGACCTTGTTAAATCAAAATCACAGAAGGCACATCATTTTCAATGGATTAATTGCTTTATGGGTACTGGAAGCAAATTTGAACATGTAGCATTTCTTTCTCTTTGGTTATCGAGGTTTGTTTTCCCTGGAAATGGCTATAACACTGTTGGGAAATATGTTTTTCCAATTGCAATTCACCTAGCCAGAGGGACTCGGATTGCGCTTGCTCCACCTGTTCTTGCGAGCCTCTACAGAGATTTGAGTTTATTAAAAGAAGCCATTTCTGCTTCAGCCGAGTTGGGTGGTGATGAAAGTGAAAACAGCTTTTTAGCACTTAGTGTTTGGGCACCTTTGGCATTGGTTCAAATCTGGGGTTGGGAGAGATTACCACCATTGCAGCCAAAACCCAATTTCCTAAACTTCGGCGATCCAAGATTGGCTCGGTGGCATCAGATGAAGAAGTTGAATATTGGGAATGTGAGATTGGCTATAGACTCTTCTGCAGATAGTTTTCTATGGCGCCCATATGCCATAGCTGTTGACAACTGGTTGATGCCTAAGTTTTACAAAGAAAAAGAAGAGTGGGTATCTGGCAATCTTGTTTGGGATGAAGAATTTGAATCTTTTGCTAGATGTTTGAGGGTTTGTGAGCTTGTTGGCATAGACTGCATAGAACAGTATCTCCCACATCGAGTTGCAATGCAATTTGGGATGGACCAGGATCTACCAGGATGGGTTTCTCAGTCGGATTGGACTCCAGAAATTGCCTGGCAGAATTACAGCAGACCCATCAGGGATGTAAAACTGTACATTCCACCTAGGCTCTTTGAGTCAGATGTAACTATCCAATACGCACAATGGTGGAAACAGTCAGTTTTAGCTCCACAGGATGCTATTACAGGTGTTGTGAGACGTCCAAGGACTTTGAGGAGATCAAAAAGATTGTGCAACATATCCGAAAGAATGAAAGGAGGCAACGAAGCTGATGTTCCTCCAAAACGTGTAGATATAGGAGGAAATCAGAACACAATGCTACACAATTTGAAAGGATGGAAAGGAATCAACAATGCTGATGTCCCTTCTGACTTTCCTCCCATGTGTGTAGATGTGGAAGGAAATCAAAACACACAGCTACAGAATCTGAAAGGAAGAAAAGGAAGCAACAATGCTGATGGTCCTCCTGGCTTTCCTCCCATGTGTGTAGATGTGGAAGGAAATCAAAACACACTGCTACAGAATCTGAAAGGAAGAAAAGGAAGCAACAATGCTGATGTTCCTCCTGGCTTTCCTCCCATGTGTGTAGATGTGGAAGGAAATCAAAACACACTGCTACAGAATCTGAAAGGAAGAAAAGGAGGCAACAATGCTGATGTTCCTCCTGGCTTTCCTCCAATGTGTGTAGATGTGGAAGGAAATCAAAACACACCGCTACAGAATCTTAAAGGAAGAAAAGGAGGCAACAATGCTGATGTTCCTCCTGGCTTTCTTCCCATGTGTGTAGATGTGGAAGGAAATCAAAACACACTGCTACAGAATCTGGAAGGAAGAAAGGGAGGCAATGATGCTGATGTTCCTCCTGGTTTTCCTCCCAAACGTGTAAATGTAGAAGAAAATCAACACACTTCGCTACACAACTTTAGAGACAGGAAAGGTGGCAGCGATGCTTATGTTCCTCCTGGCTTTCCTCCCATTTGTGTAAATATTGACGGTCATCAATATACTTTGCTACACAAGTTGAAAGAAATGAAAGGAGCCATCAATGTTGATGTTCCTCCAGGTTTTATGCCAAAACCTGCCAGCGGGGTCGAAAATCTTCAAAACCCTGTGGGAATATTGCAAGCTAAGAACAAGCATCACAGTGGAGAGGAAAGACTTACTTGTAATGACAAGCATTTTCTGGCTGCTCAATTTCAATTTCTGTCATCTTCAACTGCGAGTAATGGAGATTTCGTGAGGGAATCATTGATGAAACCAGGAGAAAAGATTAAGCAGGCGGAAGCTGCAACAGTAAAATCAGAAACAGGCATCGAACATGAAAATCAGAGCAAAGCTGGAAGTTCAATTCATTGCACGATTAGCATCAACCCCAAGAAGGCGAAGGCAGTAGCTCTGTTACTTCTGACATACCGAAGGTGGAACTTGAGGATCGAATTAGCAAACTTGAGAGTATTGTTGCTGCTCTAGTAGCAGTAAAATGTGGGAACAGGGTTGTGAAGAGAGCCTACTAAAGTTTTATCCAACTTTAAACAGTAGAAAGCCTGTCCCATAGTATCCTCTTTTAAGTCGTGCTGCAGAATAACAAATGTAATCAAGAAGGGAAAACCATAGGGTTTCATTCTTTGTTATAGTGATTTTAGATTCAAATTTTGTTAAAACTTGGCCATTTTGCATTAATCAGGTCTAAGTTCAATAACTCATTCTGTCAAAGTATCACACAACCATCTATATCATCAAATGGCAGTAAAGCAACTGAAAAATGACATGCTATATGGTTTGGAGGGACTGTAAGTACACATTGGCAGCCATATGCAATGAAAAGAATTCCTGGCCTCTAAGATTAATCTTGATGTAAACGCATAATGTGTAAGCTCAAAAAATCACAGAGCACATTGCAACTATTGATATTCTTCTGAGTTTCCAATATTTTGTATGAATTACAGATTTGATAGCTTGTTTCTTTTTGTTTGTCCGTTGGGTGGAATTTACAAGCATATCAGCGACATATCCCCAATGGGTTGGTTCAAGATTTTGATGGTTTTGGAATCTAGGAATGGTTGGCTGAAATAGCGGATAGAAAGGAAGATGAGCTACTTTTTGCTTTCCATGTTAGAAGAAAAACTCTTGAGAAAGTCATTGGCAAAAAGCATTCAGGTATACAGAGACCCAAAAACTTTAGCTTTGTTTGTTAACATTTACTTCAAAATTGGTATCTTTAAATTCTTTTATACCAAGTTCTTGCCCTATTATTTTTATTTTTGGATTTTCTGAGTATTCAACGTTTCTGCCTACTTTAATTGTTTTAATTGTCACTCCGATGATTGTCTTATTCGAATCTGTTCATCTTACCTGTATTAACTCAGTGTCCTTGTGCCACAATCTGTCCCACATCAGAAAATAAAGCCAAGCCTAGTTTTTATGACGATGTAAACCCTCGCTGCTACCAGACAAACAGGCCCCTTACAATATCTCCTTTTTCATACATGGTTTCTTAACAAGATATCTGTATTGATCATACAGATTTTGCTTTTCGGAAATAGGTTCACACAGAAGGCCTTCAGATTGGAATAGTAGGATGATAATTGCCGAAGGGGCTGCCAGAGGATTGGAATACTTGCATGAAACAGCTAACCCTCCAGTGATTTACCGGGATTTCACAGTGTCTAACATACCAGGTTATGGGGACTTACAACTATTGTGCGCCTTATGCATTGACAGGCCAGTTAACAATGAAGTCTGATATGTACAGCTTTGGTGTAGAGTTGTTGGAGATAATCACAGGAAGGAGAGTCAGTGACAACTCAAGGCCTGGTGAAGAGCAGACCCTTGTTTCTTGGTTATGTATAGAAATGTATATGAATTTAGCACTTCGTAGAACTATTATGAAGCACTCTGGAACTATTTACCTCAGAAATTCATCATTCTGTGAAAGTTTTCCAAAATTGTGATGAGAGCCTGGCATTGAAATTCACAATGTTACCCATTTTGAAGGCACAAACCTTTGTTCAAAAGACAAAAAGGAAGTTTGACGTACTGGCAGACCCATTACCTGAAGGGAACTTCTACCCCATTAGGGGCCCTTACCAAGCTCTTGCAATAGCAGCAATGTGCCTCCAAGAGGAAGCTAGTGTTCAGCCTTTGGTCAGCAATATAGTAACTACCCTTGAATACTTATTTATAAGTAAGATCGATGAGGCGGTGGGTGCAGAAATGACGAGGATCGTGTTGGAGTTGGATAATTAGTATAGATTTTGTTTTAAAGTTTATTTAGTTATTTGAATACTAATTGGTATTTATCTTTCTAGTGGTAGAGTTATGTTATCTTCCTAATTTTTATCAAGAAAGACTCACGAAATCACAAAGAAATGGTTGTTGAATGTATTGAAAACAATGGAGCAGGTGTTGTTTGGGGCCAGAGACTGAGCAAGTGCTTAGTCTCAGATTTTGCTTAATGGCTGCTGTTCAAATT